GATACAGTGAGAGCCAAACATAGCAGCCAGGGACAAGAATCTGAAGATGTTTGAAGAATATATGCTTCTAACCTGTCTGCACGTCTTTTCGCCGGCGGGCATCGCCCGTATCAGTCCGCAAATAGCACCATTATGTCTATCTACTCAGTCTGTAAACTTTATTGGTAATGCATGCAGGAGAGTTTCCCCGTGAACTCGTACGGCAACAGAACCGCACCAGAACGTGAAAAACTGGATTGATCCAGTGCGAAGCCACTTCGCACCTGGGCGGGCACATGGAACTTTATGACTTCCAACGTTTCGAAAAAGCTGCTCAATGCCAAACGTAGAACATGGTGACGCCGGAATGTGTAGACGTATCGGGCAGCGTGCAGGATTTTTATTCAGGACAAGGGAGGTCACTCGGGGAATGGGTCTCACTGAGTGATGGTCACTTATCATTTGGGTAATGATCACTCTGACAGATGAACTCTGGCCATGAGTGATGTCACTGCCCTGTGTTGAACAGGTGATGTTGAGTGATGATCACGCTGAGTGATTCACTCTTGCCATGAGTGGCGTCATTGAAATGGAGCGCTCATCAGCAAGGGCGGCATATCTCCGCATTGCAACTGCCGACTCAGCCCTCGCTGCGGAACCCTCACCTTGTGCTCTGCTTTTAGTTCTCGTTCCCTCGTTTTGTGCTCGTTTTTCTTCCCTTTCCTTGAGAGCTTGCAAAACAAGTTCGCTTGTCAAATGAGCTCCATTTGCAGTACTGATCTTGACGCGCCCTTCCTCCTCCTCGTCTGCATCCCTCAGTAAAGATCGCTGGATTTTGTTGAAAACAAAAATAAGTTTCTCTACAGTAACCTCGTCACCAACTTTAAAAAGTCTGGAAAGCGCGTTTATATCTGTGCCGTTTTTTCCCTCGCTCCAGAGCCCGTACTTAGAAAAACCCACCTGAATTGTCGGGCGTACAAATGACTTCAAGTACGCGTTATGAATACATGACGCAACAGTAAAGGCATTGAGCGTTGAGTTTGCATGAGCAGAACGATGCAACTCAGCTTGCAAGTAGGATTTGTAGGCCCCGAACACGGACACATCGAGCGGCTGGAGTTCATGGGATGTGTGTGCAGGAAGAGCAATAACTAGGATCCTGTTCTGTTTCATTAAGCTTAAAAAACGATACTGGACATGCGCAGAATACCTATCCAGAACGAGTAGCAGCCACTTACCTCCTTGACGAAGCACAGCTGTTTCCTCCACAAACCTAGCAGCCCAATTAAAAATTATTGAAGAGTCGGCTCCTGGCATCGGACGATAAAACAGGTAGCAATCCATCAGTACGGAGTGCAGGGTTTCCGTTTTTCCTCTAATCGTTCGGTAGTGTGGTCTCTGCCCTGGGAAGATGATAACCGGCTTGTATGGCTTTCCATCTAACACGATTGGCATTATAGTAACTCTATCAAGTGCACCCTTTGTGCGAACTGTTTTTAGTAGCAGAACTACGTTCTGTCTTCTAACGCCCTTGCGAAGACAGCGACCTACAATTTTCGCCAACGACATTCCAGACTGATCCATATTGAACACTTGAGCAGGAGATGAAATATTAAACCGAGTCATAGCAGCACGCACTCTAGATATGTGTGCCGTGACATTGAGAGGAGAGAGTGCATCCAACCGCCGACTCTCAACCTGCCTTACGTGATGGTACCTCAATCCGTTCCTCTGCATGAAGTTATTGATGAATTTTTGAGAAGGTCTGTCGTGTTTGAATTTAAATTCACTTTGTTCTGCTGGAGCAAGCATTTCTCGGAATTGTACAATAATGTCCATGACGCCGTTTCTTGTCAGTGGCGTATTGTTTTCCACATAGTAAGATGCTGCTTCAGCGAGCAAACGTTCGTGTCGTTCTGGTATTGCGTGTGGCCTTTCAGGGGAAACTACGAAGATATGGATGTCAGCAGGCGATTGCAGTTGAGAATTCGGGGCATTAGCGCACCAGTGACGGAACGCCGTTCTAATCTTCGAGACGGAAACCTTGTGCTTGATAGCTAGAGACTTGTAAGGGGTAGGGGACTCTGTCTGCCGATCGAAAACCGCTTTCCGAAGACGAAACGTTTCGGAGTCCATCGTTGAAGAGGTGGCGGTTCTTTGCAGTTCTTTGCAAAATAGAAGGATATATAGTGTCGTGTGTCACGAAAAGGTGCCAATTTTTGAATCGCAGGGAGTCCGGCCTTTGTCCATTGCCATAAATCGTGGAATAGGGGACTATATTTAGAGAAAGACGAAGTTGTGTTAAGAGAATAGTGTTTCGGTGTCGGGGTTCGCGGGAAATGCTGGGCTGACGATCAAATTTTCGACATGTCAAATTTATCCGATTTGCTAAATTAAGGCATGTACTGTTACCTCGGAGTGGAAGCTGCGCTGCCCGTAAAATATGAGCGCGCGCGCAGAGATGAATAAAAGGGGGGGCACTACACGACCAACCCTCACTTTACACAATTCCCAATCCTTCTCCCCGAGCCCTCACCTTACACCACTTTCCCATCTCTCGTTCCCCTAAGAGCATCCGCACCGGCGCCAAGGCAAATAGGCAAACAGGCAAAACTATTTTCATACGTGTAAGTCTCTCCCTGGCCAGTTGACGTTTTTCCTATTTGCTGTTTTTCCTCTACCACTGTCTTCTACACCCGTCAAGCCGCAGTTATTAAGTTTAAGGAGTTTGACCATCGCGCCGAGAGCGACAATCAAGGCATTATGGATTATGTGCTGCAAGACGAGTTTCATGACTCGTTCCTTGACAACCCAATGCAGCTTTTCTCGAGTAGTGACGACAACAGTGACGGCAAAGTCATCCGCAGAGGCTCCCGTGCTGGTCGTTCTGGAAATATTGAAAGAGGCAGAGAATCAGCTGCTCTGCGTTTGCACAATGATTACTTTGCACCAACTCCAACCTACACTGCTCACCATTTTCAGCGTAGATTCCGCATATCGCGGTCTGTGTTCGACAGAATTATCGCGGCAATACCGACAAGTGATATTTATTTTGTACAGCGCGAGGACTGTACGAAACGAAAGGGATTTACTTGCCACCAGAAAGCCACAGCAGCGCTGCGTTTACTTGCATATGGCATCACAGCCGACTCGGTGGATGAATACATTCGGATGGCAGAACCGACCGCGTTTTCTTTGACGTACAAGGGGAAGTCGAAGCGAAAGCATGGGCAACGATTGGAACGCCATTTCCAGGAACAGGTGTGGAATTCATGGAGTACCGGTTGGACTTTCAAAGTATCGAGACTGTTTGCTCACCAATTGATGATGATTTTACCAGTTGTAGAGAGCATAGAGACCAACGGGGATATGTATTTGTCCGGATTAGCGCGAACAGTGTTTACTTTCACTGTACATTTCCTGGTTTCGCGCCAAAAGTTGCCCAATGGTTTACTTGCACTTGGAAAGTCATAAACTATTTGTAGGATAGCACCTGAGGCAAATTCCGGATATTTGCCTCCGTTTTTCGGAGGGCGCTATATTTTTTCCTCTGTTTTTGGACGAGTAGGGTTGCATTTCGGAGGAAAAAAAGCAAATAATGTAATTTGCTGATTTGATCAAGTGCCGGTGGGGATGCTCTAAGCATACAACACTTTCCCTCCAAGTTGGTTGGGTGGGACGTCAACACAGTAAAGTTAGATAAATCAATAACGTTGCCCGTAAAGTCGCGAAAACACGTGTTTTGGCCACGAGTTTATTCGGATGTTCTAACGTTGTCCGTAAAGTCGCGAAGACATGTGTTTTGGTCGCGAGTTTGCTCGGATTTTCTGATTGCAAAATTTTCAGACAAGTAGGAGTTGTCTACTGGCTACGAGTGCAGACACGCTCCGAGTGCAGATATGAGCACCGAGGCTTCCCGAGGGCATCATATCGCAGCACGAGGCAGCGTGTCCGCATGATGTAAGCCAGGAGACAATATGCTTGTCTCCCGGCTGCTACCGCGACTGTCAGCCATCGTAGTTACAGTGGGTTCGAGTAAAATTGTTGGATTGCTTATTGTCTGCACTGTGGTGCAGACACTTTCGGCAGTAGTGCAGACATCCGCAATTTTTGCACTGCGCTCAACCCCACCAAGCCCTTTTGAGTTTGCACTCGTTTGTCCCCGCTGTCACGGTGCGTATGTCTCCTCAGCCGGTAGACAACGAGTTTTCCTACCGTCTGACGGGGACATACGCGCCGTGACAGCGGTGACATTAACAGGTTTTGGGGAAAACCGTAATGTTACTGAAAAGGGCTTGGCGGGGTTCAGTGCAGTGCAAAAATTGCAGATGTCCGCACTACTGCCGAAAATGTCTGCACCATAGTGCAGACAATAATCAAGCCAACAATTTTACTGTAATTACAATGGCTGACAGTCGCTGTAGCAGCCGATAGACAAGCATATTGTCGCCTCGATCCCATCGTGCAGACACGCTGTGCGTCGTGCGATATGAGGCCCTCGGCAAGCCTCGGTGCTCATATCTGCACTCGGCGCGTGTCTGCACTCGAATCGAGGCGACAACCCCTACTTGCAAAACTCACAGCATACCGAAAATTCGGGACATGTGAGTTTTCCACGGGTTTTCACATCTGCCTGATTACTGTACGGCAGTGCCGGATCGACCCGTCTTGAAGGAAAACGAAGTGGGGTTTCCGCTCTCTCATCAGCACAAACGAGTCTCATACTGCACGGTTCGTACCGGTTTTCGCCATGGACGCCCCTATCACTTCATCTATCCAGAGTCCATCAACGGATCGAAGCACCACAAGATCTGCCACATATGCCGCTAAAGCAATCGCAGAAGACAGACAAGTAGAAGCTTCTAAAAAGCGGTCCTCTCTAAACGGCCCCCCTCAGGCCGTCAAGAAGACGAAACACATCGCCCTTTCGACTGAGAACTATTCTATCCTTGTGGCGAGCTACAATATTCGCTTCGGCGAGTATTCGCCCGGGTGCACGTGATCCGTCGGACGGCACAACGATGTACCAGACTTGCGTTTGTTGCGGGCAGGTACCTTGCTGGAGGTCAGTCCGCAAAACTGGTGGTGGGATTTTTCAAACTCAGGTTTACTTTACGTCCAGCGAGTTTGTGGGCAAATGGAAAATAACGAACGTTTCATGATTCTTTCATGTTTTAGGGTGCGTGCGTCTTTCCCCGCTGGAATCACACGAACATTCTGTGAGTGGAGAAATTGCCAAAATATATCAAATTGTTGATTGTCTAGATTTTATGGATTTTTAGAGTTGACGCTTGGACGTTTCTGGAAGCGCTCGCCGAGGGAAATAAAAGTTTTTGGAGGCTGCGGAGAAAAGCCGCGAGGGGGACCACCCAGAAACCCCCTCCCCCCCCCCCCCAGTTCCCGACCAACACATTCATTTACGAAAGAACAAGCGAAAGCACATCAGCTCATCCTACTGATCCACACGACCGTCGCCACTGTTTCCGCTTTCGTCCACAACGACAAGAGTGCCGCGCGCTGAACGCGGCTTTCAACTTTCGCATCCCTGTTTTTCTAACAGCCGGTGCCGTTCTCACGCATAACACACTCCGCACCTCACCAACTTGTCATTAGCTATTCACAAAAAAAATACAGGAAAGCTCCCGGCAAGAGACGGGACCGGGACCATATAGAACACGGAGAAAGATGCATTCTACCGATGTGTTCATAAGCCATGCTGGCCCGGACAAGCTACACATTGCATATCCCCTTTTCGAGAAATTGCAAGCTCATGGTTTAAATTGCTTCCTCGACAGAATGTCGATGGAGCCCGGGGACTACGAACAGGATGAAATGACAAAGGCTATGGAATCTGCGAAGGTCGGTGTTTTCATTCTTTCTCCCGAGTTTGCGGCTCGAAAGTGGACGATGAGGGAACTGCGTTGCTTCCTACGCCGACGGAGTGAGGCGATAAGGAGTGGGATGCGACCACCGACACTGATTCCGGTGTTTTACAGACTAAGTATTCCTGAATGCGGAGAGTTGGAGCCCACTCGATACAGGGATGATGCAGGAAATAATATTTTTGAAGTTGAGAAGTTTTTTAGCGAGGAACGACAGCGCGAAGCGAGCACGGATACGGTGAAGGGGGAGCTACACGAGCTGGCAGAATTCGGTGGGATTGTAAATGAAAAAGGGGCAACAAACCGGCCGGGAGATCCACTTGGCGATGGAAAAAGGGCATATCTTGTGGAGCAAGTATTTCTGGGGGTGAAAAAGAAATGGGAGAAGCATTCAAGTGATGCAGTGAGAGAAGTTTTGAATGCAAGTGGCCAAGTTGAAATCCGCGCTGCCGTCACGCCCATCGCACGATGTACGCTTGATGTGTTCACGCCTCGTATACACGCAGAGCACAATCCCGAAGAAATATATTTGCAACTGAATTCTCGGGGGATCGATGGATCACCGAATACGTGTGAGGCGCGGCTAAAGGAGGCCGTGCTAAGTACCGATAGGAATACAAGTATAGGAGCGACGGCAACGGGGAAGGGCGGAGTCGGGAAGACATGCGCTCTTCGAGCGATTGCGCACGACGATGACATCAAGGCTCAGTTTTCAGGCGGAGTGTACTTCATGTCCTTGGGGAAAGACGCCAACGTAGGGCGGCTGATTGAGGAACTGTGTATAGCCGTAAAGGCGTCTGGTGGCAAGCAGGTGGCTGCAGAAATGCGAGAGCAAAGCGAGTTGAGCAGAGTACTGACCGAGATGCGAGCATGGTTCAACACACGTGTATGCCTGTTCATTATTGATGATGTGTGGGCCGTGAATGGTATAGATGCATGTATTCTTCGGAAATTATCCATTCTCGCTGACACAGCAGGAGACAGCCGAGAGAGGAGCAGACTTCTGTACTCCACGAGGGACCCAGAGCTGAAACAGGTCGGTAAGCGAGTGACTTTCGAGCCGAGGGAAAGGGAAGGGAGAGATTCAGTTCACATGCTCATGCTTGCGAGTGGGGCGAACCCGGAGGAAGCGAATGATCCGACATGCAAAAAGGCCGTGAGCGAAATCTTGAAATTGTGTGCTGGTTTGCCGCTGGCTCTGAACGTAGCCGGGACGGGTGTCAGGTACATGAGAGATAGATGGGAGGGAGAAAAGTCACAAGCGTGGGAGGCATACCTTTCGAAGATGGAGAGCCGCAACACGATTCGTAGTGAGAGTCCAGGGGATGGGTATTTGTTGTCGTTAGACGCGACATTACATGCGTCACTAGAGATTGTGGAGTCCGGCATGGGGAGCGATGCGGAGAGGTTAGGTCAGTTTTCGTTTCGAAAGATACATCGGAGTCTGTGTGTTATGAAGAAGCAAGACCGGATGCCTTTGTCGTTGGTAAGAGATTTGTGGGAGATGGACTACGAATCGGCTGAAAAGTACGCGATTCAGATGGAAAGGGTTGGTTTAGTAGACCTTCATTACGACAAGGATTGTGGGTGGGTACGGATGCATGATCTGACGCACGATTTTGCGGTGCAGGAGGCGCAGAAGGAAGAAAGTGTAACGGTTTGGTATAAGAAGTTGGCAGATGTATGCCGGCAGGGAAGAGGACTGCTTGGTATGACTGAGAGCGAGGGTAGAGAGGGCAAGGATGCCAGAGAGAAGTATGTTTTCGAGAATACATATCGCGTTCTGAAACAGGGGGGGTGTGTGGAGGAGCTGAAGAATCTATTCTTGAGTGCGCGATGGGTGAAGGCAGTGATACAGAGAGGAAGTGTGTGGCAATACGAGGAAGCTGTAAAGGATCTCAATAGCTTTTTGAGGAACACGGGAGGAAGCGAGAGCCTTTTAAGGGATACGGGAGAAGGAGATTCGGTGTATGCGATGGGATTGATGATGAGAGCTGCACGACTGAGTGTACCTTTTTGTGGTGAAAGCAGTGCAGGGATTTACTTTCAACTGTACGGAAGAATCAAGCACAGGGCAGCAGAATTATGTAGCGTGCAAAGGATACTCGAGGAAATCGAGGAACACACGCCACGACCATGGCTGCAGCCTGTGAGTGAATGTGTAGGGCGAGCGGGAGGAAGTTTGGTGGAGCAGATTGTGCTTCCGAATATCGTTTACGAAGTCGGCATGGACTCAACGGGTGGCGTGTATGGACACTATTTGAACCCGCGCCGTACCAGGATCACAGTTTTCGCACAGTCTCCGGACAAGGAAACGAAGATGACTGAATTAGGCAACGATTTTGAAACGGGGAGCCGAAAATTAACGTGCGGTTGTGTCAGTATGAGCAAACGCTATGCAGTTATCGGATATGGTGATGGGACACTACAGTTCTGGAGTGTATCGGAAAAGAAAGTGTTGTGGAGTGTCTGCGGTCATGAATCGGCGGTGTGTAGCGTTGCGATGAGTGGTGATGGAAAACGTGCAGTATCTGGATCCTGGGACAGGAGCGTACGAGTTTGGGACGTGGACACAGGACTGCAAATCGGCGACGCATTAACTGGACACACAAGTGTGGTAGCGAGCGTTGCGATGAGTGGTGATGGAAAACGTGCAGTATCTGGATCCTGGGACGAGAGCGTACGAGTTTGGGACTTAGACACAGGACTGCGAATCGGCGACGCATTAACTGGACACACGGATGGGGTAGCGAGCGTTGGGATGAGTGGTGATGGAAAACGTGCAGTATCTGGATCTGGATCGTACGACAAGAGCGTACGAATTTGGGACGTGGACACAGGACTGCAAATCGGCGACGCATTAACTGGACACGCGGGTTGCGTGACGAGCGTTGCGATGAGTGGTGATGGAAAATGTGCAGTATCTGGATCTGGATCGTACGACAAGAGCGTACGAGTTTGGGACGTGGACACAGGACTGCAAATCGGCGACGCATTAACTGGACACACGGATGGGGTGAAGAGCGTTGCGATGAGTGGTGATGGAAAACGTGCAGTATCTGGATCCCGGGACAGGAGCGTACGAGTTTGGGACGTGGACACAGGACTGCAAATCGGCGACGCATTAACTGGACACGCGGGTTGCGTGACGAGCGTTGGGATGAGTGGTGATGGAAAACGTGCAGTATCTAGGTCGTCTGACGGGGGCGTACGCGCTTGGGACGTGGAGAAAGGGAGTACAGTTCATCTCGGAAAGTTGAAGGACTGGCGAGATATCGTGGAGAGATTTCTGAATGCAGAGGACGTCTCTCGCACTGGACATAGGCGCAAAAGGCGCAACGTTTTTGAGAGCGGGGGGAAAATTGTGCATGAGCGAGAGGATGGCTCTGAGGCTGTTTTGGTGCAGCTGGAGAGTACGGTAACCTGGTGGGAGGTAGACGATAATCATGGGGTCTTTGTTGCAGCGGCCGGCAACCGGGTGGCTATTATGAAGCTAGTGGTCTAGGTGTGTATAGGTCTAGGTGTGTATATTCTACTTCCCTTGTCCTCTCGGCCAGACACAGACGTTTCTATTGTACGGTACGTGGTGGCACCTGTGGTGGGGATAGCCTGTTTGGTTTTTTTACGTGTAAAGTCTTGAGAATTCTGGTTTATTGACCGCGTCGTCTGGAATCTTCTGCGGCGTGCATAAGGGAGAAATACGTGAGCTGTCTTCAGGAAACGTCAGTGGGGGCGAAACGCAGCATGATGCGCGCTACTGTCTCATGGCGATGCTATGGCCCCTGTCCCATGAGCATGAGAAATGCATGGGACATATGCACGGGTTGACGGTGAATACGTAGGATACACGATGGAAATCGATTCATCCCGTTTCGTGTGGTGAAGGCCGACAGCTTTTGAAGTTTCTGTGGAAGCGAGCGATTTCCTGCGCAATGGCGGTGGCAACAGGGAGCTCAGGCACGTCCTCAGGAGGTACGGTACCCTTCTCACTCTCTGCCTTCCTTGAGAGAGTGGCACCTTGAGAGAGTGGCACCCTGTTTTGTAATGCCGTGCTGTTTGCATGCATCCTTACACACGAACAATGAGGTGACCAAAACCTGTGGACGTTTCAGAAATTGGTCCATTTTTGTGCGTACCGTATGTCGCTTCTTTTGGCTCGTGACATCATCAGACGAGGTCCGTCGTGTGTGGCGCTCTGGTTCCATTCACGGATGGGACGTTTTGCCAGGACGTACGGCCCTCCCTCCAGTTCCCGGCAGAAAAGTCACATCAGTCGCTGC